GACCATGCAATAATTCATTCAAAGGTGTCAAACTTACACCGAAAGCCTTGCAAACCCTTTTCATTGTCGATGATGTACCAACTACAATGCCTAAGTCTGCTTGAAGCAGAGCCAGAAGATCGCCAATTGAATCCCCAATGAATACCGACAAACCTGTAYGTGAATMTTGAGCAGCATTCAAAAGATGTTGAAATTGTTTTTCTTTGTCTAGAGATGAAGATACTTTCTTGTCTATCATTCCTGTTGATTTGTTATTTACTTGAGGGAAATCATTTCCTGTGATGGAGAGATTTTTGAGTTTTCCRAGGACAGTTTGTAYAAGATCCTTTGACCAATTAAATGATATGACATGTAGTGTTAGATTAAACTGCTCAAGCACATCCAAGCAGCCTGGTTTCAAGTTCACTTGCTTGGCAATATTAACAATGCCTTCATGAGTTATCCCAGCTAGAAGTTTACTTTCTTCAACCTTCTTTGTTGACCCACTATCAAAGTCATGAACCTCCATCAAAAACTGCCTGAGCCCTGTTTTATTTACACCATTATCTTCCTGGCATGGTAGATGTTGCAGTAATTTTTCAATTGTTTCCTGGTATCCTGTAGTATATTGAAGTCCAATTGTTTCCCATTCCTGGTCAATTTGTTTGGCTTCTCCATCTACAGCATGTCTATATTTATCAGATGCTTTGTAAAATAGTGAAGTTGTGTCATGGACTGTACATGTACCATCAAAGTCAAATGCCAGGAAACGCACATCTATTCCTGGCCAATTTTTGTCACATTTTGGTGCATTATCTGGTACAGTAATTGGTGAATGTGCCATCATACATCCCTCCTTRAAGATGACAGACATCACTAGTAGGAATTGAAGTTCTTCATTAGAATATGCTATTGTCTATTCTGTGGGAGGGGTGGGGGATAGGGTGCTGCATTTAAAAATGTACTTTGACTATGACACTACCAACCTGGGGAGCCGTTCTTGAATTTTCTTTGATATTAAATTATAAAGTCATCAGATATAAATACGCTAACTCGGCCCTTAGTGAAATTGTTAAAAATTTCTAGTTATAATTGAAGTTTTGATAGAAAGAAAGACTCCAGGACCAGACTCTAGTGTTAAATTATAATAAAATATCCGATAAAATGAAGATTAGTTTTATAGCAAGCTACTTACACCAGATAAAAAAGAAAAGCCTTTTAAAGAATCTCTGTTTTCTKTCAAAATCCACCATCCAAATCTTGCTTTTGGTGTAAAGGAACTCTAAGAATTCAACCGACCGTCAGTCAAGCCAGTGTTGTCTGGAGTGTTCTTACCTGTCGTAGGGTCGTACCTGTCGTACCTGGTTGGTTCTCGTGAGCGTTCGGTGATGTTTCGGTGAATCTTCGTACTACAATCGGAAACCTCGAATTATATCATCAAAGTTCAAAATGGCGTCCGGTTTYGTGGAGAAAGTGTCAGAGAAAGTCTCATTTACAACTAAGGTAAACTACGTGTAGTGAAGTTAAGTGAATAAATTTAATTTAACTAAAACTGACTATTTTATAAAGGTTCCGATGTTAATGAAAGCAACGTCTGATAACGAATCACCTACACCAGGCTATTTATACCAGGAAATAAACAGTATCCTTGCTCGATCCTTTTGATTCAATGGTGAATATTTAAGCTTTAAATAATTATTTAATAATTTCTATCTTAACATTTGCAAAGAAATAACGTTCGAGTCTGTATCTAATTGTAAATCGCTGGTGGATTTCCTGAATGACAGGCTCAAGAAATCATCCCCACACATCAAATACAAGGTCAGCATGTCCATAGTGTCACACATTTGTTTGAAAACCCTTAAATATAATTTGAGAAATATGCTCT